AAAAAAAAAAAAAAAATGAGAATACTGCTCCTTTATTGCGTTTCAATTAATGCATTATTTTTAACCCCCTGAACCTGGGATGGAGGCGTGCTCAGGGGCTGGTGCCGGGTGACCTGAGACCTTCCTGGTGGCCGGGCCAGCGGTCTGCACCCCAGCCTGGAGGAAGGGGCCCTGCTGCTGCCCCTGAGGTGGGCGGAGGCCCATTGTGCCTGGGTCAGCGGTGAGTGGGCAGGCTGTGCACACGCCACCCCCACGATCTATCGATCGGAGCAAAGTGCAGGCCAGGGATGAGCTGAGTGTGGGATTCAGGCTCCTTCCACGTCGTCGCCGGCGGGGTGGCTCTNGCTCTCCGTGGAGCCTGCAAGCCGAAGCCGGGGGCTGCAGCCCGAGGTGGGCAGGGTCCCGGGGAGCAGCATTCTGGCCAAAGGGTGCACCCAGAGGGGGGCCCCGTGCTCAGAGCCTGCGACACTGGAGTCCCCAACCCTGGTGCGTCTTTCAGAAAAGAAACTCCTACTGAAAGCAGAAAAATAAAATCAGAAATCCCCTCCCCCTTTTTACAGGCCATGCCCTCTCCTCAGCCCCCCCACATCCCACTCAGGAAAGACTTGCCCTAGATAAGTCAGGGGAGCGGGGCTTTTCCTGGGGGATGGAAATGCTGCCCTGAAACAGGCCCTGGGCCCTCCCTCTGTGAGATTAAGGGCTCTCCCTTGACCCAGCCTGGTCAGGAGAGGCCAGGTCTGAAGGCAGGGTCCTCCAAACAATGGGATCCTTCCAGCAGCAGGTCACCTTCTTGGTGGGAGGGTGACAGAGGGGGACATGTTAAAGGCCATCTAGCTGGGCCTGGCAGGGCCTGGCAGGGCCTGGCAGGGCCTGGCACCATCAAGGCTCCCCAGGTGGACCCCAGCCCCCACCTCTGTGCTTTTTCGGTCCCATGGTTGGCGAAGCACTCCCCTCCCCCCAGCCAGGTGGGCAAGCAGCTGGGCCGCCAGGTGGAGGGGCCTGACTCAGTTTCCCCACTTGCATTCCCAGTGGAAACAGACACAGGAAGGGCACCGGGCCCTGGAGGGTCAGCGCGCGTGGAGGGGTTGCGCACAGC